GGGGGCGGGGAGGGGGCGGGGGAGGAATAAAGTCCGGGCAGGCTGGGGTTCGAGACGCACGATTTTCGATGGTGGTAATGTACTCGTCTTCAAACCGGTTCTCCACGTACTGGTATGCCAGCGAGGATTTGCCTGAAACAGTGCGCGTTGAGATGAAGTCGGCAAGGTCATGAGGGAGAGACAAGAGAAAGCAAAGATAAAGAGGAGGGCGGAGACGAAAGGGGAAAGGGGCGGAGTAAAGAGAACGCTTGAATACAACAGCACCGGCACACGCCTGGGCACAGTCAAGGCACGCAGGAAGGCACATTTGCACGGAAGCACCAGCCCGCGTGTGCGTTGGGGATATAGCAAGCCCGTAGGCATAGGCATGGACAAAACAAAAACAACAACAAAAAAAAAAAAGCGGCAGCGCAAACACCGGTGGGGGCGGGGGCCGAGGGCGTACCGACGGCAGGAAAGCCCATGAGGGCGACCTTCCTGACACGAACCATCTACAAAAGGGGCATGCCGTGCAGCGGAGGCGCGAGGGATGAATACAGAGGAGGGGCGTATAGAAGCAACGTCAAGCAGCCGCAGGTGCCAAGCACGGCGAATCACACAAGACGACGGCAGCAGCGGCGGCGGCGTCTAAGCTAGCCATCACACCCACCTCGACGAGATGGATAATCCAAAGGTGAAGCGAGACGCTGGGCGAAAACTAAAGGAAAGGGAAGGAGGCAAGGGCGGGGGCGGGCGTGTCACCGAGGTCAGCCAGAGCAAGGACGAACGGTCGTGTCGCTCCTCCCGCTGCTGCTCGTCACCCCAACAGCGTCAACAACCATGACTACTGTCGTGGCCCAGGATGAACACGGCATACCTCCTACGCTATGCCCGATCAAAAGAGGGCCAAACGGCAAGAGGAGGAGGAAGAGGAGGAAGAGGAAGAGGAGGAAGAGGAGGAGGAGGAGGAGGGAGGAGGGAGGAGGGAGGGCACTTGTTTCAAAGGTGATGAGCCGGGGAGAGCAGGCAGCTGTAAAATGCCCTTCCCGCCGCCGCCACTTCTGTTTGTGTGTATGTGTGTGTGTGGGATCAACAACAAGCAACAAAACAAAAGAAAAACTCCTCCTGCTTGAGAGAGAGATGCAGAGAGAGAGAGAAAGACAAGAGAGAGAGAGAGAGAGATCAGAGAGACGTACAAGAGCACGAGAGATACAAGCGGGAGAGGAAGCAACAGAAGAGACATGAGAGAATGAGAGGACGAGATCAGAGATGTAAGAGAGAGAGAGAGAGAGAGAAAGAGAGAGAGCGAGAGAGCAATCGATTTCTTTTTAGAGGGGGGGTGCAGTTGTAAGGACCGGGACAAGATGTTGTTGGAGATGAGGCAAGGGTGTTGATGGCTCTGAAGAGGCGCTGTGCGCTGAGCCTTGGCCTGGTTGATGGGCTGGTCGAGTGTGTGATGCTGTGTTTTGGGTTTTGTGTCGGTCTATCTATATCCCACAGCTCGAGGGAGAGGTCCTGTCAGCTGTCAACAAGCCACATGGGAGTATCAGATGTATAGATGGTATCGTCATGGATGGACATACGGCCATCGGAAGAAAGAGGCAGAGGCAGTTTCAGAGGTTGGTTGGTGCAATGTGGTCCCAACTAGGCTTGGGAAGGTGACGTGCCTTCCGTCCTTTGCTTCCTTCCGCCGCATAGCCAATCAAGACGAAGCAGGACTTTTTTGGGGGGGTCGACAGTCTGGAACAAGAAAGGGCTTGACTCGATCCCCGACCTCGGCGGCGACGACGAAGGTTGGTGCACTCATACCTCAACAACTTTTGAGCACATCTCCTGTCCTCGGCTACTTGGTGTGTGCTGCGCAGACGTTGTTGATGTCCCAGTTCCCCACTTTTTGCCTTTTTTTTCCTCAAGATCACGACTGCTAAATATGTGCTGCGTTTGACAGCTGACACACCCCCACCAAGAGGTGGTACATTCCTCTCATAGAACTTGGCTGGGGATAGGGTACGGTTGACAAACCGTGGCAAAGTTCCCCCGAAAAAAAAAGCAACAACGACCACGCTTCATCTGTTTATTACGGCATCCAGATGCACTTTATCAATAGCAGCGCGGCAGATGCAGACGGGGCGGTTCGATGCGAGACAGGGCTGGGGCCTGGGAGGGGGCTGGGGCTGCGCTTCCATAAGAAACCGGAGAGCTGCTACCAGACGTCAGACATGTCCCGAGTGGATGCAGTACTTGATCATGAGTGGATGGTTTGTCACACTTTGATCCTTTGTCAGCAAAATTAAATTGTCAGCAAGAGATATTTTTCGTATCAGTCAGAGTAAGGTTTTGGTGCGAAAGCAATTCATGTTTTCTGGTTCTATTTCTTCGCCAAAAATTGAAAAACGAACAACCGGACCAAAGGCATTAAAATTTCGGTCGTGCATCACAACATTTCACCTTGCCTGTTATCCCGCCTCAGCCTTGTTCTCTGAATCACTGCCCAACATACAACCACATCTCTGGTTATCCCTCTCTCTCAAGTCACCCTTCTACCCTCCTAAAAACCCTCTCTCTCAATTCTAACCTTTCTTTTATCCGCCCCTCTGCCTCTGACTGTGTGTGTCTTCTCCTCTGACTTTTGTTGGCTGTGCTGCTGCTGCCTGCTGCTCTCTCTGTCTCTCTGTCTCTCTGTCTCTCTGTCTCTCTGTGTCTCTCTCTCTCTGTGTCTCTCTCGTTTTTTTTTTCTCTCTCTCTCTCTCTCGTGAAAGTGGTCCGCGGATCGCTGTGGGTGAAACTGGTGAGTTGGAGGTGTCATCGGGCTTGGTACATGTGTTGAGCGATGTGCGCGCCCTGCATCAAGTCTGGGCAGTGACCTCTTTGCTGGCTGCTCTGGTCTGATCTCGTCTCAAGAGAGAGACACACACACAGAGAAGGAGAACGAGGCGGACCGAGGCAAAGCGCGTGTTGTTTCGCTCATCGCCTCTTGGCATCTGTGGCTTCTTCTGGTTTTCTTCTTCTCCCATCTCCGTGTCTGCACATCGGCAGGAGCAGTGTGAGCAGCTCTTGCCCCCTCCCTGCCATTACCAAGCCGCCCGAGACCTGCAAGGTATCGGCCCTTTTGCGCAAGTTGAGCCATGGCGACGTCGACACCCCAGTCGCCGGTCAATACCGAGGAGCAAAACTTTGATTTCTCGGTCGAAGGTGTGCAAGCCTTTCTGTCGCTGCTTGCGTGTGGGCGCAACCATGGACTTTAGAGCTCACAGGTCGCCTCGATCCTGCCGTGCCGCCAATTCCATGGCTTGATGTAGGCGTCATTTCCGGCCCCACCCACCGTTATTCCGATCAACGTGTGGTGCGCCTCACCGGCCTTCCCAGCTCCATTACCAACCGCGTACGCTCAGCACCCACCTTCCCTTGTACAGCCTGTTTTTGCACGTCGTCGTCGCCGTTAACACGCACGATGCTTGACCGGTGTTCTCTCCCATGTCGTCGACACGACAGGGCCTCAAGGATTTTCTGAGCGAGCAACACGGTGTCGAGGCGGAAACTGTGCGCTTTGAACGTCAAGGTACACGTGCCCGTTGTGCACCCCCCCCCGTCTCTCGCTTCACTTGCAGCCACACATCATACCCCCATCCCGGCCGCTCCCGCCTTTGGCTTTCACTTCCACTCATGCACGATTGCTGGTGTGATCGTTGCCTCCCTGCTCAACGCTCTGCTCCTACAGAGCCGGGCCATCGGGAAAAAGCTGCCCGCATCCTTTTGGCCCCGGGTACTACCGCCGAAGAGGCCATTGCCACTTTGAATAATTGCGTGTTCAACGATGTTACCATCGGCGCCGGTCTCCCACGGACAGATGGTCTTCTCTTTGTTGGCAACCTGGGTATGACCTTCCGTCCTCCTTCCAATGCCTGACCTCAAGCCAGGCCAAGATCATAGCGGCTCCTCTTCCTACCGTCTTCTCATTGGACATGACATCGTGGCTTGCTGGCTGTAGCCGATCGCGTGCCGGTGACCAAGATCTTGCAGCTAGGCTTGCGCACCAACTGCGTGCACCGCGCCTTCCTTATCTCACATAACAACAAGAGCCTCGGCTATGGGTATGCCAATCACCGTTTCCCAAACTCGCTTGGCTAATGCACGCCCTTTGATCGGTGACCGAGTACATGCTTCATGACGCACATGTTCATTCCCTTCTTGCCAACCCATGCCCTGGACATACGCAGATTTGTCGAGTTCCTGACCCGTGAGGACGCCGTCAAAGCTCGTGGAGACCTGGCCTCTTACGTTGTTAATGAGCGGCCCATCCGCGTTGATGTCATGCGCCCCATTGATTTTGTACGCCATCCCTGTGCACAGACTGACGGGTGCCTCGGGTCCGAAAGCACCTCACGATAACTGCCACAACTGCTTGGTTAGGACATTAACAACTTTCGCTCCCGCACCCTATTTATTGATCGCTTGCCCAAGACCATCAGCGACGCCGCCATCCTGCAAAGGCGAGTTGCACGAGCACGGCTGAGGAGCTGCGCATGCCCTGCCTCTCGCTCCATGCCATTCATCTTACCCCCTTCCCGTCCCCTCCACCTTGTATCCGCAGTTATCTCGGCGAGACGGGCATCGAGTACTGTGATCTGGTGCGCGACCAAGACGGCAATCCTCGCGGCTTTGCCTTTGTCGATTGCACCGATTTTGAATCCTCGGTGCGTGTTATCCTGACTGCCAAGAGCAAAAACTGATTGCCCCCGCGCTCGAACCGATATGCACAGCTGACCCAGCGTGTCCTTTGTCCTTGGACACCCGCCCCCTTTGGTCAACCCTGGATAGTGCCGAGTGCGCGATGCAGGTCATGGCCTTGTCATTGTGTCCTCAGCCATTCGGGTCAGCTTTGGCCATCCCCAAAAAACTGGTGAGCAGATTATTCAAGGCAAGAAAGAGGTGGCTCGTCAGCGCCAGCGCGGCGGACGCCAATCGCCGCACCAGCAAGCCTTTATTCAACCGGCCCAAAACGTCCCAGCCTTTCCTCAAGGCCACATGGGCGCTCAAGGGCACCCCATGCTGATGCGCCGCAACTCACAACCCACTCAACTTGTGGGTATGCCCGGCCGCAACGGTCCCGCCCCCTTCCATCGCCAGCAATCGGCCCCGGCCTTGGGCCACAATGTGCGCATGAACATGGGCCATGCCCACAACATGGGCCATGCCCACAACACGGGCCATGCCCACAACATGGGCATGGCTCAATCTATGAACATGGTCCGCCCAGGCACAACACCGATGCACATGAACGCGGGCATGCCCATGCAAACGCCAATGCACATGGCACCCACCATGCACATGACCCCGCACATGGGTATGAACATGGGCGCGGGCGCGATGCCCATGAACACGGGCATGGGCATGGGCGTGCACCGCAACAGCTACGATGCTCACTCCAACGGCTACGGCCACCCTGCTGGTACTTACACACCGGTGCCTCCCAACAGTACGTGCCAAGGTCGCCAACTTCTCCTTTCCTTTGCCGTTTCGCGTCGTGCTGCGCTGGGAGCCAACTTGTGTGCTCACCTTTCTCCTGGTTCTACTCAGGCTATGCCCCTACCCTTCCTCCACAACCGTACCAGGGCTATGGACCCAACGGCGAGTATTTTGGGCACGAAGCATACGGCACCCCAGCCAATGGTTACATGACAAGCATGCCTTCGATGCCTGGTACTCAGACACACTACTATCCGGCGCAGGCCGTTCAGGCACAGCCAATGCAGTCGCAGCACCACCACCGCCAGCAAGTGTACGATCCCATGGCCGTGCCCATGACCCCCATGACGCCCATGACGCCGGGTGTTTTTACGATGAGTGGCCCGGTTCATGCCGCCTGGAACGGTGCCGTTGAGATGGGTAGTCCCGATATGATGATGGACGTGGGCTACCAGGGCATCATCAACATGGTCGAGGCGCCAACCCCCGCCGTCTCGTCCTCCAACGCCGGTGGCAAGGGTGCAACCACCACCACCTCTGTGCCGCTGGCCACGCCCGACCTGTATCGTAGCAATACCCAACGCCCACCGAGTCGCCGCGAAGGTGCTCGCATCCCCAAGCGCATGGGTCTTGAGATTGAGGTCGGAGAGTCGACGTCGGAGCCCGAGTTGGAGCTGGCCGAGGGGGTGACACCTCTTTTGGACTCGCTCACCATCGGTCCCGCCAAGCCGGAACCAGCTTCGGAAGAGGCTGTTACCCCGCGGGCGCGACGTGGTCTGCGACCAATCCAGGAGCAAGGCACCACCGACCTGCTTTCGACTGCGGATGCCAAGGACACCGCTGTGGGCTGGAATCTCAATACCCCTGGTAAGTTTGTTTGCTGCGAAAGGTCTCGGGCCTGTTTGGCAAGAATCGCTTTATTCTACATTATTATGGCTGTCCTCACCTGCTATGGCGCGCAGGTCCCAACAACCGCCGTCCCTCCAAGGAGCCTAGCCCATCCATGCTCGGGGGTTCACGTGTGTCCCCCAACACGGAAAATGCACGCCGCAAAGTGTCACCGATTCACCCTCCACGCTACCAGGATCGCGTGCGAGCTGCCGGTGACAACTAAGCGGGTTCTTCGCCCCTCCCTCTCGAACAGACAACGTTTTCGTGTTTTCTTCTGGTGGCACATTTTGGACAGACAGATTGTGATTTTTTTTTTCTTGTGCGGCGCATTTGTGAGCCTTGATTTTACGTGTTCATGTGTACGTGGCGTCTTGACAAGCGCGTTGAGTCCGACCCTGTTTTGTTTCTACTCCCCAGTTCCCGTGCCCTCCCCCCGCCCCTCCCCCCGCCTTCTCCCATGTGTTCTTCTCGGTCGACAGCTTCCAAAATGGGAAGGTAAGCTTCAGGCCGAGTTTGAGAAAAAAATGCTTAGACAGCTATGACAACTGTACACCGCCCTGTGCAGTCAAGAAAGATATCCATGCGCTGCCACATAGACCAACCTGTGCCGCCGCCAATGATGATGATGGTATGTTCATGCCTCAGACAGCTAATTGATGCAAACGGGGACGACACAGCCCATCCCACAAAAGGCTGACATTTTAGCTTGACCAAAGTTTTGTATTGTTTTAAGCAGACTTTTCCCATCTGAACGATACATGCGTCTGCTGCAAGAAAGGCTTTGAGAGAGAGAGAGAGAGAGAGAGAGATCGCGACATCACTCCGAAACGCATTTTGCTCACTTGACGGGCAAACGGCAGTGTGTGCGTGTGTGCGTGTGTGCGAACCGTCTCTCGCTGTCTCCCCCCCGCGCACGCGCTCTCTCTCGTCACGTTGCAAGTGTACTGGACACCATGGTGCACACGACGGCCAAGTTGGCCGTGCTGAGTGCCTTGCTGCTTGCTGTCTCGGCCCAGCGCTACGTTTGGAATGGCGCCACCCTTGTTTTCTCCGATAACAAAAAGTACGTGCTGGCGGCAGTCTCTTCCCTCGGCAGTTTGAACCGCCTCTTGGTCGGCAGAGTTGGCTGTATCGATTTGTTTCGCGAAGCTCATTCCTTGGCGCAACAGCTGGAATGGCACCCCGAATCAAGCTAGCGTCTTGAACCTCACCAATGATAAACCCTACGTTGCCAATATTGATGTTACCGAGTTGAGCGTCGGCCGCGTACGTCAAGCCGCTGCTTGCAGCCCATCAAAGGACCTCGACCCTGTGCTGCTCATGGTCTCATGTTCGCTTGCTGTTTTCTTTTCCCTTCTTTCCTTTGCTGCAGATTACTTTCCCCCGGTCCGGCAAGTTTCGATTCGGTATGTTAATGACGCCGTTTTGGTTGCCTCGCTCGTCATGATCTACACATGCTCATACTGCCCCTGCGCCTTTCTGTCATTGCTTTGGCAGCGCCCGCCACCGGCTCGAGCACGCGCATCATGTTCAAGGAGTCTTTGAAGGAATCCGGCTCGGTCGTCACCTTCAAAGGCCCCAATCAGAATGACGAGCGCTTCCATTTCAACTGCCACAAAAACGTCCGTATTGCAAAACGAGGACCTTGGATCATCATCCTTGTGTTTGTGTTCGTGTGACATCTTGGCCTGATCATGCATTTTTTTCCCATGCTTTTCCTCCGCTTCTTGGCAGTGGCTCCTAACTGGCACGTCGTCGGGCACATCAACCCCCCCTTGGTGAGTTTGACCAAAACCAGCATTGCATGCAAAGCCAAGAAAGTCTCCATGACTTTGACTTTTTGCATTCGTGTCTTGTTTTGACTCACTTGCTCACCCCTCTTTTGATTTTTTTTTTCTCGTGGAAATTTCCCTTCTAGCAACCACAACGTTCGCCTGGACAGCAGCGCAGCCTACTACTTCTCCCTCGCTGACCCAGCGCTTGGACACATTTACATTCAGAACCTGAACATTGGAGATGTTGAGATCGAGACCCCCGCCGAACTCCCCATGTGGCAGTTTGATGACATCCGCAACAGCATCTCGCTTGGCGGCGAGGAATGGTGAGTTGGGGGTGGTTTTCATCACAATCGCGTTTGATTGCTTTCAACCTTTTGCTCACGCTATGCCTCGTCTTGGATTGTTGTTGATAGTGCCTACACTATTTACACGACTGGTGCCCCGACCTGCTTCTGCCCAACCTCTTGCCCTGAATCTGAGGAAGAACGACAGAGGCAACAAGCTATCATTGATGAGGCGCTTGGCAGAAATGCTCGTGACGAGGAGGCCGAGCGCCAACGGCCCATGCTCGTCTCTGGTACCTACTCTGTCTCCCACTCGGTCGTTGGTTACACCAGCGCGGTTCTCTCCGTTCTCATGGATGACATGGATCACTTTCGTGCCCTCTTTGCCTCTCGTCTTTGTACGTCAATCGTTGCCTCGTGTATTTGTAAAGCACGTCATTTTTTTCTTCATTTTCTATTTGACAGCATCTCATTTTTGCTGTATCCTCGACTGTCACAGCCGCTTTCCTCGGCTCTGCCGCCTTTAGTGTTGACGTCACTGGCGCCGTCATGGGCGAGAACGTGGTCAATCTGACCATTGCCATCAATGCTACTCGTGACACTCTCCTCAAGCCCAGTGCTGCAACGAACGCTCAGGTGGCCAACCCCTTTCTCAAGAGGATTGCCAGCAGTACATTGAACAACATCAACTCCACGGCGTTGGACAAGGGCGTGGAGAACTCCCTGCTCTTGGTTGGCGTCAGCATGCTAGCCGAGAGTTTGGTGGGCGATGGCTCTGGTGACTCTGATACTTGTGAGACCCCGCTGGCTTGTGAGGCCCTCAACAATGCTTCCGTCATCTTGTTGAGCCTTTTCTCCGAGCCCGATACCTTGCTTGGGTCCATTTGCCCCAATGGCCTGTGTCAGTCCAGCCAGCAAATGGCAGGCGCTCTACAGGCCGCGGGTCTCTGGTCTTCGGCCAGCATTTATGAGGACGACGAGGTCTCGGCGCTCAAAAACTCGATTATCGCTTTGCTTTCGGGCCTGGACTTGACTGCGACGAATAACAAGGCCTACTTTGATCAAGTCATGTCTGATTTGGGCGAGCAGGCGGATGCCTTGAGCCCCATTGTGACTGTCATTCCCGCTCTCTCCTTCGCTCAGTCCCCCAACTTTTACATTGGCGCTCAGCTGTCCTCGGTGGTAAGTCAACCCACATGTCGTTTCAAGCTTGTCTGAGATTCTGGACCAGGTGCCTCAGTCTTTTTGTACTGATACGCAACAACACCTCACGTCGTTGTTTCTCTTCGCCTTCTTCCTTATCGCTTGTAGGTTCTGCGCCGTCTCATCAATGGCGATAACCGCGCCAACTTGGATGCCTCCATTGCCAGCTTCATCGAGGGTCTTGGCCCCATTGTCGATGTTGTCTTGACGGACATTTCAGTTGTCTCTCGTGACCGCCGCCGCTCTGAGGACATCCAGCTGCAGATTAACTTCAATTACACAACTCACTGCGCCAGTCAGGATTGCGACATCACGGAAAGCCAGGCTGCTACCTCCTCCTATCAACTCATCGCCACGGCGCTCCATTCAGCCGTGGTAACCACGCGGATCACTTATCCCAACTGCTATGTCAACTTGGCCTGGGATCACGACTGCCTCATCTCAGCAGCCATGGAGGTTTTCGCCGATAGCTCCAAGACGGACGCGGCCCTCGATGTTTTGGAGGCTTACTTCTACTCTTTTGTCAAGTGTGACAGTAACGGTTTCATGCCCGATGGCGAGTCCTGCTATGCTCTCAATGAAAATGCCAACAGCACCGCTACGGCCTTGGCCGCGACAACCCATGCCATGCTGTTCCCTACGACCACCATCTCTTCCCAGACCACGGGCGGCTCGGGTGCCGTGGGTGCCTCATCCTCTGCTTCTGGTGACAGCACGGGCATTATTGCTGGTGCAGCTGCCGGCGCCGTGGTTCTGCTGGCAGTGTTGCTTGTGCTGCTCGTCTTGCGCCGCCGCCGTGCCACTCCTGCCGTTGCGCGCACCGAGGAGCGCTCTGTTGTCTCTTTCGAGAACCCCATGTATGATGAGGGACCCAAGGCTGCAGCAGGAGGCAACGAACTCTACGATCAGATGGGCGCCGCCGATGAAAGCCTGTACAGTGAGCCCGCCTTGAATGGAAATGCTCGTCGCACCACAAATCCCATTTACGATTCGTCCGAGAACCTGGCGACTGCCGGCCAGGAAGATGGTGGTTATCTGGAAGATCCCACTGTTAACGCGGACGGTGGTTATCTTGTGCAGGAGGGTGTCCATGTTGATGGCGATGCCGATTTTGCCGAGCACGATGCTCTTGAGGAAGGTGGCGGTTACCTCGACGTGGGTGGCGAGGGCCAGGACAAGCAATTCGGCTTTGAGTAATTTTGCTCTTCTCTCATCCTTGTCATCTCGATCACCTCCCTCAAGCAACGGATTTCCAAGCTCTTTTGATCTTGCGCTGATCTTGCGCTACCGTATCTGGTAAACTGCGGAGAAATCTTTGTTTGTCCGTTCACTTGACCACAAATTGAGCTCTGTTGCATTTGCTTCGTCGAAAGACCATGTGAGCACACACACAAACAAAAAAAAAAAAGACCTGAAATTAAATTTTGTTTTCGTCGCTTTGTTGTGAAATGGGAGACACACACGGCGACCAAGCTGTCCTTCAAAATAATTTAATTATGCCGATTGATGGCTTGAGTACTCTATAGTCGGCGCGACTTGCAACCATCGACCCCAACCGCCACAAAACTCAAACAGGGCTATTGGGCGAAAAAAAACCAACAACTACATTTTGCTCATGGCACACACAATACATGCATTTACACGCGTGCCATGCTCTTATTGACGTCGCACGGGCGTCGAGGTCAGTGAATTGAGTGTTGAGTCAAGCGCCTTGGTCAGGGCAGAGAATTGAGCCTCCATCTGCTCTTCAAAGCGGCGGGATCGCTCCGCTTCCTCCCGCAAAAAGTCGGAGGACTGGGAGCGGGTGGAAGCCGTGTCGTCGCCGCCCGAGGATTGGGGCGAAGCCTCGGCTGACGACATGCCCGAGGGGGCACCACGCGCGGCGCGGGATTCCTCAACAGCCAGGAGCTGTTCCGAGAGCCCGGAGGTATCCGGCGTCCGCTTTGTGGCCTGGCCCACTGCTTGCGCCGCTGCGGTGGCATCGCGCACAATTTCTGACGCAGCTGCGTTGCTCTCATTGGACATGTCCAGCGGCGTGATGACACGGCGAGTGTCGGGCAGCCCGGCTTGCCAGTGAGGTGGTAATTGCAGCAACTATGAGGTATGGGGGCGATGAATGGTTGGGGGTGAGGCCGACGATGCGCAGGCCAATGGCAAGGGGGTCGGAAGCAGAGACATACCTCTTCAGCGCCATGTATGACATTGCGAATGATTGAGTCCATATCCAGTCGCGACAGACTCTCGCCCATGTGTGAGACGGACTCCCCCATGTCCATCAACATGTCGGTTGTGTTGGAGGCACGACGATCGAGCGTCGGCGTAGGCCATGCCTGTGCATAAGTTTCGAAAGAGTGCCAGTTACTTCTTGTTTCCCCACAAGAAAAAGACAAAAAAACAAAACAAAAAAGCACGAACCAAACCATCGAGCGATATCCCACCTTGGTGAGTTGATCGCGAACAAGCTTGAGTTGCTCGCGTAGGTCCAAGTTCTCACGGCGAAGCTTGGTGCTCGTCTCTGATTCTTGTTGGAGCAGCGCCTGAAGATCGCTGGGTTGGCTGTTATGGTGAGGCGAGACCGGCTCTGGAATGGCAGGCACGTCGCGAAGCCGTTGCACCTCGGCTTGTAGCCGAGCACATTCGACTTCCCGCTGCGCTAGTTTTCGCGCATTGCCTTGACGAGCCACTTCGAGCTCTTCTGCGTGGGTCTAGTTTTGCGGGAAAGAAGAAGGTGGGCGAGCAAACACAGACACGCAATATGAGTCATTGGTCACGGCACAGACACCTCGATTCCTTCGCTGTGCCATATCCTATCCCAGAGACGGCAGTCTCACACGAAGTTGATTGCATTCGCGTTCCAGCTCGGACAGCCGGGCTTGCATCTGTTCATCCACTTGCTGAGGGCAGGTGCGGCGCAAAGGATCAGGTACCACCTGCGACAAGAAAGTCGACCAACAAAAGAAGAAAGAAAGAAAAAGGACACAAAATCGACGAAGAACAGACCTGTGTAGCGCTGGCGGAAGTCTGTACAGACTCCAGCTGTTCGCGAATCGCGCGCGCCTCAGCAATTGCCTGGTCCCGCTCTTCGTGGCTCTGCTGTAGCTTGGTCGTGACATCCTCCAGCGAGCGTTGCTGCTCGGCTAGCATGGCCTGGAGTTGCCCCATTTGCTTGTGGCTTGCATCAGACTGAATTTGTTGCGCTTCGGTTTGCTCGCGTCGCAAGCGGATGATCAACTGCTGAGACTCTTGCAATTGACGCTCAACGTCCTGCAGCCGTTCTTGAGTCTTCTGCAGACGTTCTTGAGTATTCTGAAGCCGTTGCACTCCTTCCTGTAGCTGCTGTTGGGCATCTGTCTGGAGTCGCAATAGCTCACGTCGTGCTTCGTGAGCTTCGTGCGCCAAGGCGTCGCGGTCTGCCTCAATGCGTGCAGCTTCTTGGCGAAGTCGCGAGGCCTCTTGTGTTGCTGTTCCTTCAGCCCGAGTCTTGGCCCTAAGTGTGGCGTCACGAGCCGCTAGATCTACCTCCAGGCTTGCCACCTTTCGCTCCAATGCCTCGTTCAAGTCTCGCAGGCGCGCGGATTCAGTTTGTGCCGCTGCAAGCTGCTCTGCTTCAGCAGCATGTGTGGCACGCTCACCACGAGCGCTTTCAAGTTGCTGCTGCAAGCCTGTGACGGTAGCTGATAGGCGTGCCTGCTCATTGGTTCCGGCAAGCTGCTGAGCTCGCAGGCGATCAACCTCAGCTTCAAGGGCCTCGGCACGCTGCTGCAGCTGTGCGTGCTCGCTTTGCAGGCTGCGGTGCTTTTGCTGGTCCACGGCTGCTTGCTCAAGCAGGGCATCCATTTGCTGCTCGTAGCTACTCTGGATGCCCTCCAATGTCTCCGTCTGCAAGCCCGCGCAGGAAAAAAGAGGGAATGTGAAGGAACGAGCGAGAGTGGCGGAGTTTGGTATGACAAGGCAATGAGCGATTTGAATAAAATCCCCACCCCGGTTGTGTCCTTGTTTTGGTTTCTGCCTTGGATTGCATTTGGCCATAAGGCACAGAAGCCATGGCACGAACAGGCTCACCTGAATACGGGCGCGTTCGATGGCGCTGTCCGCTTCGTGGTCTCGTTGGGAACGCAGCTGAACCTCCAGCTGAAGGCGTTCTACCTCGCTGCGAGCGGTTCGCTCGTCACTTTGGGCTTGACGACGCTCTGCTTGCGCTTCTGTGAGCTCGGTGCGGAGCTGCGTCACCTGGTCGCGCGCGACCTCGAGGTCTGCTTGACAAGCCGCAAGCTCAGCTCGCAAAGCTTGCTCGTGTTCCTTTCGAGCCTGCGCTCCCACCCGCAATTCGTGCACTTGCGCTTCAAGCGCGAGGTTGGTTTCACGGGCATCGCTCAGTGAAGTTTGCAGGCGCTGCAGCTGTGCATCTGTGGCGTCTTGTCGTGGCGAGCGCAGTTCCCGGTCAACACGCACTTGCATCTCTTCAAGAGATGCCTTGTAGCGCTCGCATTGAGCTGCTAGCTTGTCACGGTCAGCGCGGTACTGCCGAGCTTGCGTCTCGCCTTGCTCCGCCTCACGCTGCGCCGCATCAACTTTGCTTTGGCATTGCAGCGTTTGTCGCCGAGCGTCCGATAATTGCTGGCGCAGCTGTTCCTGAGTCTGATCAGCCTTTTGTTCACGCATGTTGAGCTCCTGTCGCGCAATGCGGGTCAAAGGCATGAGGTACAGCACCAAGCTCAAACTATACAGGGGTGACTCTACCTGATGCAGGCGGGCAAGCTCGTCGTCTTGGCGCTGTTGGCGCTCTTGCGCTTCGCGGCGGGTGCGCTCTAAATCGCGGCGCACTTGGGCCAGCTCATCTTGCACTTCTAGGAGCGCCGAGGCGTCGCGCGTCTTGGATAGCGAATGAATCGTGGTGAGTCTGTCTGCAAGCTTCACCTATTGTGCATTTGGCTGGCGTGGGGTGGGGCAGATGTTTGGGGGAGGGGGACTGACCTGGGTTTCGGGCCGGATATCCCCCGCTTGGAGGATTTTAGAAAGTTGCTGTTGAAGCTGTGCATTTGTTTGCTCCAGCAACTCAATCTGGGTTGCAGCACGAGCGGCGTCTTGCGAACCGAGGCGGCGGTGAGAAGCAAGTTCGTGCTGTAGTTGAGCATTTTCCTGCTCCAAGCGGTCCACTTTGGCGCTAACACGAGCCGAGTCCTGTCGACTTGAACGCTGGGAATGGTGTAGTTCTTGGCGCAGTTGGGCATTCTCCTGCTCCAAGTGGGTTGCGCGCTCGACCAGAGCATTGTTGGATGTTTGCTGGTTTCGAAGAGCCCGAATCTCGCTTTGGGCTCTTTGAAGTTGTTGCTTAAGCTCTGTCGATTCACGATCGCTGCAGACGGTCCGTTCAAACACCGGATGAGTCATGGCAATGCTTTGGGGTTGTGCGCTTCTGGACTCGGCTCAACATACGTGGTGCGTGGCACGGCTTGTGCCTCCAAAAGGGCAATTTGCTTTTCCAGCTGCCTCTTTTCAGCCTCATATGCGGCTCGAAGTGCCTATTGTCGGGCAAATGCGTTTGAGTCGAGGGTTTGGGGATGAGGGCTAGCAAGCTGGGGGTTGGAGGTAAATAAAACACGTGCCTGCTTGTCAGCATGCGCCGTGTCAAGCTCGATCTTGGCTGTGGAGAGATAGGTATCATATCTGCAAGGAGGTCATCAGATCAGCAGGTTGACAAGTGCGCCAGCAGAGCAAACGCGCACCCCACTGCCATGGGGAGGTTGGCGGACCAACGGCAGCACACCTGGTGGTGAGTGCATCAGAGGTGTTGGACAGGGTCGTCAACTGTGTGCGTAGTTCTTGGTTCTCCGCGCGCTAATTAAAAGATGAGGGTGGGAGGTAGAATTGGGTCTGTGAGGGTGGTGGGGTCCGATGCGATCGGAGCGAATGCGATCGAAACAGAAGCATTGGCAGAGATGGCACACCAATTGCTCAAAAGTGTCACGGTGCGCAGCGTTCTCGGCGTAGGCATGATCCAAGTTATTCTGAAGCGCTGTGTCATGCAAGGGACGCGAATGAGCGAGGACATGGTGTCGCTCTCCAGACGTGTGTGAGCAGCATACCTCCGAGCTTGGCTTCCCATTCTGATCGCTTGGCATTGACAAGCGCATTGACCTGCACCGCAAGTGTGGCAGCCGTGAGAAAAGGATGTTCAACGGTGCAAACGGAGCAGGCAGGGTTCATGCTGCGAATTCTGGTGCCGATTTACCTGGCGTAGCACTTCTTGTATTTGCTCCTGGCGAGCCATGATGTTGCTTGCCAGACCGCGACCCAGTGCCCGTGTCAAATCAAGGCACAAATCAAGGCACGCTGGACAGCCTTCTCTCCAGATACCAGTCGACTGTCGGATTGACCGCTTCCATGCGAGGGCAAACTCTCAACGAGCAGGGGGCAGCGTGCTGGATCTGAGAGTGCAACCCTGCTGTGGTGTGCAGCTTAGCCGTGCTGCATAGCACACGAAGCAGAGGCTTTGAAACCACAGCTATCAATCGTGCTCCTTTTGTTTTGGTTGGTGCGCACCGTCTGCCTCGTTACCACGTCCGAAGCCCGCGCATGCGCCGACCCACAGCTCCAAGCAGGGGTCGCCGCTGCCCTTTTGCGTCACAATCGTATCAATCGACCTCAAAGAGGTTTTTTTTCTTTTTTTTGTTGGTTCGTTCAGGTTTTTGTAACGGCTCTGTGGAAGTGTGTTGTTTGAAACACTTTTCAAACTCTTTTTTTTTTGAGAGTTCAAGAAAGAGAGCGATGAAAAGAGAGCGAGAGAGAGAGGAGAGAATTGAATTGGTTTGGTCGGTTTGAGAAAGAGAGGAGAGAGAGGAGAGAGAGGAGAGAGGAGAGTTGGATGTTGTTGAGAATTGGATTCGTTCAAAAGCCTAGTCCAAGAAGGCGTAATAGGCGGAGAAGGCCGAGTGGTGATGGCAAGGGGGGCAACGTGTGCGTGGGTACGGTGCCTTTGCGTGTGTTTGTCAGGCCATTTAGGCGAGGGGCATGGTCTTGAGGTTGTCCGACACCTTGAAGGGGGCGCCAGTGGCCGCCTAGTATCAGGCAAACGGGTGAGCAGGGTAGTGGGCAAGTCAGGATGGCAGGGTTGGCGAATGAGTCTTCAAGCGTTCGGGGTACGAGCACTTGCCTTGACATCATCCACGGAGATGCCTTCGGCCACCTCGACAAGCTCAAGGCCCTTCTTGGGGTCCACATCAAAGACGGCCTGCAATAGGGGTTTAGCACAAAACAAAAACATACAAGAGAAACCAAAAAAGAGGCCATGAGCACTGCAGAGCCCGGTCGCACGATGCTCGGCCAAGGCATGTGCAGCCATTGACTTACCATTTCAGTGATGATGCGATCGACGCAGCTTGGGCCGGTCAGCGGCAGGCTGCAGCTTTCAAGAATCTTGTGACCACCGTTCTATGCAGGCAAGCCAAGGAAAAGTCTCAGGCGAATGAGCTGACAAGCAAGAGAGATGCGGTGCCCTGAAGTGGTTCCCCTACGGGTTGTAGTACGCCGTTACATGGCTTCCGCAAGGCCTTACCTTGGCGCAATGCTCCATCGTGATGACCACGCGGGATCCGGGGGCGGAGACCAAGTCCATGGCGCCGCCCATGCCCTTGACCATCTTGCCGGGAATCATAAAGTTGGCCAAGTCACCGTACTGGCTGACTTGCATGGCACCGAGGACGGTGAGGTCAATGTGACCACCGCGAATCATGGCAAAGGATTCATCACTGCCAAAGAAGGAGGAGCCGGGAAGAACGGTGACCGTTTCCTTGCCAGCGTTGATCAGGTCCGCATCCTCTTGGCCGGGGCGGGGGAAGGGACCCAGACCAAGGACGCCGTTCTCGCTCTGAAGAGTGACGGTGATGCCCTCGGGAATGAAGTTGGAGGCCAGCATGGGCATGCCAATGCCTAGGTTGACAAACATGCCGTCCTTGAATTCAAGGGCAGCGCGGCGAATGATTTGTTCACGCTTGGCGGCGGCACTGCCAGCGGCAGGCGCCTGGCGGCCACCGTCTTCCTTGGATAGGGTCAAACGCTCAATGCGCTTTTCGAGGGAGGGGGCCTTGATGATGCGGTTCACGTAGACGCTGGGGACGTGAATGTCATCGGGGTCCAGGGTGCCAGTGGGCACAATCTCCTCGACTTCAGCAATGGTGATCTTGGCAGCGCGGGCGATGGGGGCGTTGAAGTTGCGGGCGGTTTTTCGGAAGACGAGGTTGCCGGCCTTGTCGGCCTTCCAGGCGCGGATGAGGGCAAAGTCGCCGGTGATGGCCTCTTCCATGATGTAGTCGTTGCCGTTGAACTGGCGGTGCTCGCGCGGGGCGGAGGGGATTTCAATCTCACCGCTACCATCTGACTTGTACTTGATGGGGGCACCACCCTCGTGAATCACGGTGCCAAAGCCGGTCGGAGTGAAAAAAGCAGGCACACCGGCGCCACCGGCACGGATGCGCTCCGCAAGGGTGCCCTGGGGAGTCAGCTCCACCTCGAGCTCGCCATTGATGTACTGGCGCTCAAACTCGGCATTCTCACCTATTGCACATTGCCAAGCATTGCAGAGCCCGAGGTAAATTTGACGAAAATGGGCAGAATCACGGATAAGGCGGACTAGAAGAGGCCAGCACCGGTTGCGGTGGGACGTGGGGTCATGACCTACCGACGTAGGACGAGATCATGCGCTTAATCTGCTTGTTCTTCAGGAGGAGACCCAGTCCAAAATCATCGACGCTACAGTCGAGGTGAAGGATGCACACGGCAAATGAGTGCGGGTCAACGAGCAGGCCAAGGCAGTGCGATCGGAAAAAAAAAAAAAGCACAAAAAAATCACTGGCATACCCGGCGTTGTTGCTGACACAGGTCAATTCTTTGACGTTGCGGGCGTTGAGCGCGCCAATAAGATTCTCGGGAATACCGCAGAGACCGAAACCTGATGATGCCCAAATCATTGCACCCAGGTTGGCAGAAAATTCGCAGCCAGAAGCATCACGCGCATGATGAGGGGGCGTGGTGGAGTGGGTCGAGCACAGGGCACTTGCGGAGCAAATGCAGGATGGAAGAGCGACTGACCGCCCACAAGCAGCTTGGAGCCATTCTGGATGTCCGCGACGGCGTCATCGGCCGAGTCGTAGAAGCGAAGGCGCTGAGCAGCCACTCGGCTGGTCGAGAGCGAGCGGCGGGCGGCCAGGGCCACACCAGTTGCGGTAGAGCGCAGCATGGTGCTGTGAATGTTTTTCACCTTTTGGCTATACAGCACAAAGACACGCAAAGTTGTCCAATGCGGACCCTAGGTATTGCGGCGCGCCCAGCGTCAAGCATGAGGAGAGGATCTCGGCAAAGTCAAGGCCCCCGGTTTAATGTTGCACACCACCCGCCGCCAAAGCATGCGCAGGAGGCAAAAAAACCCCCCTCCGGGGTCCCACACACCCTTCCTCATCCCACCGCTAAAAAGCTGTCGTGTACGTCAAGCCCGCTCCCCCAGTCCCCTTCCGCCTCCTCTCTCCGCTGCGCACACCCGATGGGTTTGACCAACCTGCTGCTCACTGAAGACGAAAAAGAGAGCAGAGAGCGAGCCAGAGAAGAGAGCGAGAGAGAGAGAGAGAGAGAGAGAGAGAGCTTGTGAGTGAGAGATAGAGACAGAGAGAGAAGAGAGAGAGAGAGAGAGAGAGAGCTTGTGAGTGAGAGAGAGAGCTTGTGAGTGAGAGATAGAGACAGAGAGAGAGAGAGAGAGAGAGAGAGAGAGAGAGAGAGAGAGAGAGCTTGTGAGTGAGAGAGAGAGCTTGTGAGTGAGAGATAGAGCTTGTGAGTGAGAGATAGAGACAGAGAGAGAAGAGAGAGAGAGAGAGAGAGAGAGAGAGAGAGAGAGAGAGAGAGAGAGAGAGAGAGAGAGAGAGAGAGAGAGAGAGAGAGAGAAAGAGAGAGGGAAGATTATTCAAGTGTGGAAACAGTGTATAGAGTGTATAACGTTATCTATGGAATAATAAGCGTTTCACAGCAGGAGCGTGTGGGTAGACCAGTTGCTGTGTATATAGGCAGGGCACAATCTATACAAAAGAATCAACACGCAAAGAGGGAAAGCAGAGAGAGAAACACACACCACACACACACACAAAAGCAGATGTTTGTGTTTTGCAGACACACACACACTCTCTCGTTTGTTTTGTGGGGACTGGTGACGGGGCTGTGTGTTGTAGAGTGGGATAGTGCGCGCGTGTGTGTGTTTTCGATGGCGTCGTCCAGAAAAGGACTGGGTGTTCGTTCACAAGCAAGGAGGGGTCGGCGATCGGTTTGACGCCCTGCCAGCGAGCGCCCCCGGTCATGAAGCAACAGAAGATTCGACCTCACCTGATTCCACCAGCAGGCGAACGCAGTCACAACCTGTCACATGGGCTGGCATTGCACAACCCAGATGCATCAAAGTGCGTGCATGCTTGCAGGTGAGGGCAAAATCGGAGACAAGTCGAGCAGCATAAAACTTCTGGACCATCGGCTCCGCTCGTCTTGCGAGGACCGGCGCTGCATGGAGGGGTGTTGCTAGACAGACCAGCACCTGGCTGGGCAAGAGCGCGTGCAAGCGACACAAGTTGCCAAAACTGTTGGCATCATGGCAGCCAGTACACAACGAATAGCCCGAGGGGGATGGGCATGGTGGCCACTGGCCATGGGCACGGCCATCCTGCTCACGGGCACACACGCTTTTCTTCTGAGCCTGGCCAAAGGACCCGACGGTGCACTGCCGTTTGCTTCGGGTCCAATTGTGTTCTGGCAAGAATTTGGTTCGAATCTGCCCTTCTCGTGAATCGTTACCCTCTCTCTCTCCCTCCCCACCCCCACTCACACAGACACAAGCGCGCGTGCGCTGCCCACTCACCTGGCGCCTTGAACGATCTGCAGGCAAGCTTGCCATTGCCCTCATCGGGTGTGTTGCCACACACACACCCTTGCGCTTCGAATGGCGTGATTTCGCTTACGTGGTAAGCAAGACACTGCCGGGCCAACCACGACCCCGAACGTGCTCATCCCAGCATGACACGCCCTTGCTCGGCGCAATGCTGCTTAGATTCCCGCCCTTGGATATGCCGTGAATAACAACCTGGCCATCACTCTACAGCATGAAATGGATGCGGCCACCTTTCAGGTCCCACCCCGCTTGTCTGGACCAATAGACAACTCTATACGCGCGCTGGTATTGTACCCCAGCTCGCTTTATATCGCTCATCAGGACCACGTTGCCCCCTCCAAACAGATACTTTGCAACTTCAAAACCGTCACCACCACAATATTTATGCGCTTACTGCTCCAACGCACCATGCCGGTCGGGCGTTGGGTGGCTGTTGCCCTCGTGCTTTTGGCTGGCGTGCTCAATTCCGCCGCCGGCCTGGCTCATGCCCACGATGGCTGGCAGGTCCGTCCAAAGGGCTAATTTTTTTTATTTCAATTCTTGTTTCTTCTGTTGTGCTTGCTATGTTTGCTTTGGAGGTGCCCTGGCTCATGACATTTATACCAATGCCCCCCTGCCTGTGCAACCTTAGCTACGAAAAGCCTTTGTCACCAGCACGGGCCTTGCTCTCATGGCCTTCTACTGCACCGTGTCGGGCTTTTCCGGCGTCTATTCAGAGGTCATCCTCAAGAATCGACCCCAGCAATCCTTTTGGCTTCAAGGTGTCGTCTCTACATTAAGCCACGCTGCAGCTGCGCCAGGATTTTAGCCTTCCGCAGCATGTGAACTGTCTGGATCAGCTCATTTTTTTCACTCTTCCAACAGGCGTCAAATTATATGCCATCGGTGCACTGCTAAACCTGACACAACTGGGAGATGGCCTGCAGCTGGGCCGGCTTGGACAGTACCCCTGGCCCATCTGGCTGGCCATTGCTGGTCAAATCGCCAACGGTTTGATTTATGCAGCCATTCTCAAGGCATGTTTTGTTGGCCATTTCTATTTGCCGTGTCCTTTTCTCGGTGTTTAAGACCTCCCTCGTGTTGAGACGAGATTTAAACCTTCTGCGGCCCCGTTTTCTTGCCCATAGCACTTGAGCAACTTTACACGTCTGGTCGTGGTGAGTGCGGCCATGGTGCTTGCATCCGGCCTGACCGCTTATGGCCTCGGAACCCAGCTGGGCTGGCCTGTCTGGGCAGCTGCAGCCTGTACTCTCTTGGCCTATCAGTTTATGCACCGAGATGGGAATCCGTCCCGCGTGCGCGACACGAGTCGGCACCCTCTCGAAGCCAAGGCTATTCGTGCAGTGTAAAAAAAGCCATCGCACAGGGTTGGCCAGGCAAAAGAGTCTCTCGTTTCAGCAATCATGCTCAAAATCTGATAATCATCATAAATGTTGTTGCGTACATCGGATTCATGTTAGACTACAGCACATGTTCACCGGATTCCACAAGAAGGCGTCACAAGAAAGTGCAATCCACATATCAGTCATGGCAATTGGCCTGATGGAAGGTTCTCGCAGCCCGGTACTCGTTCTGGGGCGCTTGATCAGGGGCTCAACAACTTGAACACATATTACAGCGACAACAACAACAACAACAACGACAGCAACAACGGTAAACGAGAATACAATCGTCACACCTCATCCATAAAGCGACAAGAATGCAACAAAGCACTGCAAAATTCATGGCGGCTACGGTGATAACTCAGCGTCCGTCACTTGCGTCCAGGTGGCTTAGGCAGACGAGTTGAGAGCGCTGCGCGAGGCATCGCTGCCATGGATAGCATGGTCGAGCTCGCGGTAAAACTCCTTGATGGCCTTGCCAAAGGGAGCGCAGTTGAGGGCCCCATGTGGCTCCGAGTACACCGAGGCACCGGCGCCAATGCCCACAAACATGCCGTACAAAAGCGCCATTGGCCAGCCCAAAATGAGCAGGATGAAGACAAAGAGGCTGGCCAACAGGCGGAAGGGGAACGAGCACAGCGAGCAAAACTGCATGACGGAATCTATCAAAAACATCACAAACCAGGTGTAATGAGGGCGAGCACAGTAGCCGGATCACACTCGGCTGTTCTGTCAAATGGGACGGGTGAAGCAAAACATTCAAGCCAGAGACGGGCCCACGCACTCATGCAGCAGTTGAAGCAGAGCTCGCAGGGCCAGGGGTCCTCGCTGGTGTGCTGAGTTGGACGAGTGCCAACATCAAAAGTGCTGTGTGGCGAGCACCAAGGGTTAAAAGCACGTGAGCGCGCAACCACCATCAAATGCAAAGGCGCTGGTAAAAGTCCCAAGGATGGCGCACCTCCAGACGTCCTTAAGCATGACCCACAGCAGCTGCGGGAACGCAGCCATCTTCATAAACATGAACGAAACACCGCAAATCACCAGCCCAAGGCACATGTCTGATCAAGTGGTAAAAGCAGCAGGACAGCGAGCCCAATGAGCAAAGCGCGTAGTAGCATAAACAAAGCACAGGTCGCGCGGGCTCAGTGACACGGCGATGCGTTGCAACGTACAAATGAGAGCCAAAAAGGCGTAAAAGATCTTGAGTTCAGTAAAAGGGCCCTCGATTTCGTAGAGCGCGTACATGTCCTTTTTGGCAACCAGGCCTCGGCCAAAGTACACACCGACACCACCCATAATCACGTCCAGAGCTACGCAACGTGCGACCCAACAAGTACGATCGCGATGGGCAAAACAAGAACACCGTCGATATGAGCTGAAATGCGAAAAGTTTCAACAGCGGCGGAAGAGCCTGTCATCGAGCCCGCGCTTAAGCACGGCCGGCAGCCATAGGTCCCCTTACCGCGGTGAGGGGTGTAAGACACGAGAACAAAAGGGCCAACGAAAAGAGCGATGAGAGGCAAGGTGGCCAAGCTCAGGGCCGCAAGGACAGGAATGCCGACCAGGGCAATGCAAATCTTGAGGAAGATGCCCAGTTGTGGGGACTTGACTGTTGATGCAAATGGGCGTCGAGCACAAGGCGTTAGGCCCCAGGTCGAGTACAAATGGGAGAGAGCATGGCTCGGTCGCAAGAGCGCACACAAACACACCAACGAGAGATTTGTAGAGGTAGAAGATGACGGGAAAGAAGTGAGCCAGCGCCAAGAAGACAAAGGCCACCATCAAGAAGATTCCCGCAAAAATGCCAACAAAGACACGGCCAGCCACCCCAAGGCAATATATGCAGGGGCAGCAGAGGTTGTAGCGCAACGACTGCGAGCAGAGGTCCGCGCAAGTCCACGCGCAACAGTCATCCTGCAGGAGGACAAAACGATCCGCGTCAGACACGACACGCTTCAAAATATACCGAGGTCGGGCGGGACAAGGCACCATGAATATGCAAATTTCACGAGCATACCGAGCTGTACTGCTCTGCGGGCTTTTGAATGGCAGCTTGCTCAAGACACCACCAAATGAGGCCATCAAAGCCCAAAGTCGTGGCAATTGCCGAGCGCTTGGTCTGCGGAGCGCGACACGATTATAGAGGGACAAGAATAAAGCATTGAGTGCCAAGCAGAAGTTTGAAAGGAGATGATCAGCACGTGGATAGGCACGTTGCGCATACGTACGCCGCTGTGTACGTAGTCACGATCGCTGTGGTGATGAGGCCGGGATGGGTAGGCCTGCTGTGGAGGCGGGGCCTGGTTGCCTCCGTTCATGGGATATGCTTGGTGGGCCGGAGCTTGACTGGGCTTGCCTGACTGAGCCTGGGGCTGCTGCTGAATGGGTGGTTGGGGAAAGGCAGCACTGTGCTGCGGCTGGCTATAACTAGCGGGGGCCGGCGGGCCCCCGTACTGGGCATAGCCGTGGGAGTCTTGGGGTGGCGCTGAAGGCGTGGGGCTGGCAGCAGAAGCGTGTGCTGGTGGCGGGGCATGTGCAGAGTATGGTGGCGGAGCGTTCTGATTGCCACCATCATAGCCAAAGGTGGGATAGGCGGGTCCCGCCGAAGCTTGCCCCCGCTCAGTGCGAGCGTTGGGTTCGGGGGCCTGGCCCCGTCGACCCTGGGCCATGTCCATGGCCGTGGTGCCAAATTTGCGCATCCATTGCAAACTCATAATATTGGTCGTATGATCTGTTTGACCGCCGAGGCGACGTACGCAGGCGCCGATTCAGCCCAGGCCTCCAGAGGCAGGATTTGTCTGCGTAATGATGCACACGGATATTGGTAGGACCACAACGACGATGAGCGAGCCTATCCCTGGACCTCACGCGGGACTGACGAGCAAGAATCGAATGCCACCCCCCCTCCCATATGCACGCTTACTGTGAACCTGAATCAGGCGCAGTGCGACACAGCCAACAGCGGGCTTGAGCAGCAGCGAATCGCAGGATGGGAAAAAAATAAAATAAAATAACATATTGAGAGTTGGAGTCGTTCGCAACGTGTTCAACGTGTTGAAGGTGTTTCATGTGTAGTCGCATGATTTTTTTTTTCTTTTTTTTTCTGAAATTTTCTCTCTCTTTTTGAATCGGCGGCGCTGGGCGTGTGCTAGGGAATTGGAGATGAGAGGGAGGTGGGAGTAAAATAGGGATGGGGCTTGGGCAAACTTGATTCAAACGCAAGCCTCTAGCAACGACCCGATAAGCAGTCAGGTTGAGCATGGCGCTGCCATTTGGAGGCATCGCGTACCTCGGCAGGAGATGCATGTGTAATGATACTTGTGCACAAGCACATGTACGTCCACTTGCGGTTGCGCTCGGCGATCTTTTGTTGCGCGCGCGAGAGTTGGACCACCTTGTCACGTAAGGAATGACATCAAGACGCAAAAGATCAAGAGACCGTCATGGGGAAAGGGTGGATGATGGGTGCACTGCTAGGAGCTGGACTCGCCCTTTCATCATTATGATTGAATTGAAGAGCCTGTCGAGTCTGGTCACTAAGAGTCAAACTTTTTATACTCGACGTCATCCGGGGGTTTCATCTCAACCTTGCCCTTGCTGACTTCGTCCCAGTTGGTGCTCAGCACAGTTCCGTTGGACTCTTGGAAAGATTTGAGCATGGCTCGCTTCGTATCCTCGGATGCTGTTACACGCACAAGAGTGATATTCGAGTGAGCTTGCATGGTAAACAAAAGGAGGCTACGTTTGTTTTCATGGGGAAAAGAAGCGCTCACCGTCGCTATAAATTTGCTGAAACAAGCGGTTGAGCGCTGCATCACCTTCCGGCTGCTCGGTCTTCTCCTCCTGGGCAAAGTTAACAAAAAAAGGCCAGAATTGAGGGTGAATGCACAGGATAGGCTAGGGGTGGGTGCGGCATAGGTTTTAAGTTCAGCGTTCGCACCTCGTCCACCTCCTTGGCAAGTTGATCCCAGTCTTGGGGGCCACGGAGAGGCTTGCGAGCCGCTTGACTGTCGGCACTTGCAGGTCCTGCGCTGGTTACCTTGGCCATTTCAACCAGGGGTTGCGCGACCGCCGCAGCCTCGGCGCGCAAACTGGGCCACTTGATTCCCGTGGCCTTTTTGAGATGAAACTCCAGCTTGACTGGCTTAACCTTGAAGGTACTTTCTGAAGGTACAATGGTGTCAAAGAGAGGAATTTCCATGCTGCAGGGAAGACACGCCAGCAAGAAACAAGGGTAAAAAAAAAAAAAATGGGGTTGGGGTCGGGAGGCTAAACCACAGCATCTCCTACCAGAAATCGGCGTCCTCTGACTTGGGGAGTGGAAAGGCCACGGTCAGGGTTCGAGGCTGAAATTGGACCTTGACCTGGTCTGCTTGCACGCCCTTGATCATCAGGGTCAAATAGACAAAGGCATCCGACTGCCAGCAACCCACGCGGCGATGGGTTTAAGGTCGGCGGGTGAACGAGGAAACAGAAAGCAAGGTAAAAAGTTGGTGAGTCGGTGAGCCAAGTTCTAAGATGCATGGGCCAGGTGTTGTGGAGAGGTGGAGTCTGATCAGGGGCAGAACGAGGAGGGTTGCTGTTGAACAAACCTGATACCAATCCTGTTTCGGTGCAGCCTGGGCGTTGGGCTGGAAGGTGGTCGGCGGGGGCACCTGCGGGGCAGAATCGACTGCACGACGACACAAAACAGGTTAGGCGCAGCTGATCACGAGCATTTTCACGTCTTAGGCCACCACCACATAAAAATGACGACAAGCGTCTTCGTACCGCCTGCCTGTTGCTGGCAGCGTCGTAGTCCCTCTTGAATAGCTTGCACATCGCCTGTGACAAGAGCAGGCGCGAGCGAGACGTGGCGAATGAATGGGTTCTCAGCTCCAGAAAGTGCGCTCACGTCTGGGTGTCACGAATGAGGAAGAGGCCACGGATGGGCATGATACAAAATCGCACCTCCTGCAGCCGTGTACGAGGCGTAGGCTTCAAGCGCGGCCTTTGGTTGCTTCATCTGCTCGTACAGTTTACTAGCAAGGGGGAGGGCAGGTCAGCGGTCAGCATGGCCGATGGGTGACAACCAGTCTCCATCTTTGACGTCGGCCCAGAAGCAGCACGCAGGGTGGGACATACGCCAACTGGGCAAAGCAGCGTGGGTCTTTAGGGGCAGCAGCACACGCTGATTTGACGTCTTGCAGTGCCTCTACATTCGACAGCAGACAGGGTTGCGGTCAGCTTTGAAGATGCAAGGGCCGCAGCGCGGGTTGGCAGGCCAGACCCGTGAATTTGTGGCTGGAAGAATAGACGCTGGCGCGCTTCAGCAGGAGCTCAGCATTGGTGTCATCCTCATCGATCAGGGTGGTGTACTGCTCAAGGGCCCGAGCCAGGTCGCCCTCAACAGCCAAGCGGTTGGCCTCACTGAGAGAACGTTACAAGTCATCAAGCACCAAAGAACCAGTCAGACAGCGAATGCATCAGTGAAAGCACGACGCCTTCCAGAAAGCATCTGAGCAGCCTTTCATAATGCGAGCTGGGCATGGGGGTGCGGCTCGGCTCACGTACTCGAGACTCGCCATGACGCGCCACGAGCTACAGCATTGAACACAAAATGCATTCGAATCAGTGACAGCATGATGGCGTGAGCTGGCAGTGAACCAGTTCAAGCCCCTTGCCTCAAATGCAAGCTAATGCAGACGTACTGTTATAATCTCAGAAGAACCGAACCGAACCGTTGTCGAGAGTAAAATAAAGCGGTCGCTGTCGTATCGCCAAGAAAAAAAAAAAAAAAAAAAACGGAAGTGACCAGAAAAAACGAGATTTAGAGAGATTTAGATTGAGAGAGAGAGAGAAATTTAGAGAGAGAGATTTAGAGAGAGAGAGAGAAATTTATTTAGAGAGAGAGAGAGAGATTTAGAGAGAGAGAGAGAGAGAGAGATTTAGAGAGAGAGATTTAGAGAGAGAGAGAGAGAGAGAGAGAGAGAGAGAGATTTAGAGAGAGAGATTTAGAGAGAGAGATTTAGAGAGAGAGAGAGAGAGAGATTTAGAGAGAGAGAGAGATTTAGAGAGAGAGAGAGAGAGAGAGAGAGAGAGAG